TAATTAAAAAATTAGAGGGGCGCCTGGGTGGCGCAGTCGGTTAAGCGTCCGACTTCAGCCAGGTCACGATCTCACGGTCCGTGAGTTCGAGCCCCGCGTCAGGCTCTGGGCTGATGGCTCAGAGCCTGGAGCCTGTTTCCGATTCTGTGTCTCCCTCTCTCTCTGCCCCTCCCCCATTCATGCTCTGTCTCTCTCTGTCCCAAAAAATAAATAAACGTTGAAAAAAAAAAATTAAAAAAAAAATTACATATTATTTTGTTTTATATTTTCCATTCAAGCATAGCATTTTATGAAAATTACAATTATGAAAAAATTTAATGTTTTTTGTTTTAAAATCTAATTTAATTTGTTGGCCCAAAAGGGATATATATAATATTCTTCTGAAAGTTATCCCAGTGTCCTAATATTTACATCGCCTATTTCCCCTTATATTTAACTATTTTTTAGCATAAATCAGAGCTTTTATAGTCATCCTTAATTATTACATATTTTGTTTGTACAATAATAATCATTTATATGTTGATGGCTAATACTTTTAACTTATATACTTACAAAACATTTTCACTGTAATTACATTTGGAATATTATTTTGGGAAAAAATTAAGTATTCACAGTAAATACAAGTGACCTGTCTTGTTTGTAAATCTGATGTTGTTATTCTGGTTGGGCATGTGTTAAGCTCCATGATCACTGATCATGACGAGTTCAGGAATGCCAGAAATGTCATCAAAGTAGGCACTGGCTATTAGGCTGAGGCCAGAGCCAGGTCATATATTTGACTAAATGCCGGAGCAAAAGCCACCCCTTTTGTATTTCCAGTAAGGGATGGAATTAGGGCTGAAACGGAGTTTACTGGATAGATGCATGTTAGGAAAATATTGCTGTGGTAGACGTATGTTTTTGTTCTTTATGGACAGGGAGATGGCTAAGAAACTAGCAATGTACACATGGTTGATGTGGAGTAAATGTTTAAATCATAATGGTTTGTGATGGGCATCTCATCTCTTTTGAGAAATTGCCTTTTGATTATTCTCATACAGATTTGATAGAAGCCGTATTTGAACTTTTGGAGTATTTACTTTACATGAAACGGAGATTGGTATAAAGCAGAGGTTAGCAAACTTTTTCTGTAAAGGGCCACATAGTAAAATTTTTTATACTTTGCGAGTCATTTATGGTCTCTGTCACTACTCTGCTGCTGTACAGACAATGCAGTGTCCCAATAAACTTTATTTATAAAAACAGGTGGTAGGCAGAATTTGCCTATGGGCTGTAGTTTATGCCCACCTTTGGCATAAAGTATGTTCTCATAAAAATTGCTGCATTCTTGCAAAAGAAAGTAGCTTAATGTTGATAACACGGTGTCAGCTTAAAGTCACTAGGGATTTGGATGGTCTAGTTAAGTTGCCCAGCTTGTCCTGACCTGCCTCTGATTATCTCAAATGCAGCTTGACTACTTATAGATAGAAAAATTGGTTTATTTATTTCCTCCAAGAATGAGGGCTTAATGTGGTTATCAGTCAGTTTTTAAGTTCCAGTGTCATGGAAGAAAACCTTTTTTTGGCTTTAAAAAGGCAACTTTAGTGTAGTAGCCAACTCTCTAGTAGTTAAGGTAAAAAAAAAGAAACAAAACCAAGGACCTTTTTCATTGAAGAGTGTGGCTACCCTTGAGGCTGCACTGGCAAAAATGTGTATGTATAAGGCATGTTTCAGTTTCACTGAACTCTTAGAATGTGTGTTATTACTGTTTTGTAGATTAAGGCCAGGATGTAGAAGAGTTACTCCTGTCACATATGAAGTAGAATATAGTAACATATACCTTCTGTTGCCAACCTCGGCTATCCCGAATGTATCTTAGTACCTGAATTAAGACTCTTGACCGTCTACAGTAAATATTAGAAGTCACTCACGAGAGAGTATACATTTTACTCAAGGGGCATTTCTTAAGCTATTACAACCTATTCGATCATCTTAGAATTAGTTCATTGAGCATATCACACAGCAGATCATAAGTAGCAAATTTGAGTTGGGGTTCAAGGGCTCTTGGAGGAGACATAATAATATTAGCAAGATTTGCTAGCTAACTCCTTGGCATTACAGAGTAGACCGAAAGGGGTGCCTGGCTGGCTCAGTCAGTAGAGCATACAACTCTTGATCTCAGGGTTGTGAGTCCAAGCCCCAGGTTGGGAGTGGAGCCTACTTTAAAAAAAAAAAAAAAGTAGACTAAAAAACTAAAATGCAGACCTGAGAACTCCTTAAATCATAGCAGTGAGGGGCCTTTATTGTAAGGACCTATTGTGTTGTTTATGGAATAGTATACTAATTGATATAATCATGCCTGTATCAATAAAAGCTGACTTTTGTTTCTATTTAAGAAGGCAGATTACATATTTTAGAAATATTTTATGACTAACAAATGTAAAAGTACCTTGTCACTCAAAGAGAGGGACAGATTTTTTAGTTACATGAAAAATTCACTTAGGGAACAGCTTATTCCCAGATACTTTTAGGAATCAGCCTGGTATTTTTTTATCCTTCAAATTCTTCTCTCCCCGGGTATTGTTACCTTTGGGCAGTGATGCTTTTAGAGGTTGGGTTAGGTCAACAGACATCCATTTTTCTTTCCTTTTCATTTATTTGGACTTCTGCTTTCCTAAGTAAAGGTCTTTCTCGTTAAGTATTCTGGTAGCACTCTCCTTTCCAGAGGAACCCAGGTAGGTACAGTTTTGTCTTGTTCCTTCACTTCCTTACTTTTAAATAAATACTGAGCATCACTGCTCCACTTAGTAC